CTTAGGCGTATTAGCAGGGAGCTGGATGAAAAGTGGAGCAGCCAGGACACAAATCAGCACCCATGTATGACACTTACCAAAGGTGGTGGCTTAACCTGATATACTACAGCACCAGCTCCTACTGGCTGTGGCTCTAAGGAGAGGGTGGCTCAAGGGAAGTAGAAGATTGTGAGAAAATGTGCTACTAGGTGAACCTATAAGAATAGACAATGATGAGAGCATGGACCCCAGAATTGCAGGAGTGTGCACCTCCTTCACCGTTCTTTTCCATGAGTACCTCTGTTGCCGTGGAGGCTTAGAATGGTTACTGCTGCGAAAGGACCACATTCACCCAGACCCTGGCTCCCATCTCCTGAACAAAAGCCAAACAGTGGCACTACTGCTGCACTGCTGACCCCTTGTGTCTACAGAGATGGAACAGAAGAAAAAGCCAAAGCTACTCCTGGGCGAGGTTCCAACCAGTGGAAGGAAGGGAAGTGGAGAACCAGGAGCACTAGGGAGGTCATACCCAGGATCAGGACTGAGTCATTCGCTTCTCGGCCTTTCAGAACAAAGGGAACACCCTGCTGCCCCCTGTGAGCAACACCACACCGGCAAGCATGGAGCAGAGGTTACACTATGACTTGGAGAAGGACAAGAGCATGGAAGGGTGGTCCTAACTGAATCAGCACAGAGGTCCAGCCTGGAGCTAGGGCTGTAACACAGCCTTGCAGCCTAACTGCAGCATATCTGAAGTAGATGGACTTGAAACTTGTAGTACATTGCTGGTGGCCAGTAAGTCCAGCCAGGTTCTTAATAAGGCTAATTGAAACATGCACACTAAAGGTCTAGCAGAAAAATGTGAACGTGCCTGCCTACGTGTTCCAAAGCCCTTTCCTTGGAAATGATGCTGTGGCGTAGCAGATCAAGCTGCTACCTGTCTAGTATTCCATATGGTTCCCAGGTTGGGTCCCAGCTGTTCCACTTTGAATCCAGCTCCTTGTAGAAGGTAGCCCAAGCTGCCGTGGTTCCTGGCTTTGCTTCAGCCATTTGTGGAGTGAACCAGCAAATGGAAGATCTCGGTTTCTTCACTCCCTGATCACTTTGCATTCCAACTAAACTATTAAAAAAAAAAATTTTTTTTTTTAATCTGTTGGTGGCAGGAATAGGAGGGAGGAAATGAAAATTACGCTGATAAGATTTTTATGTAAAGCAGGATGACCATATTTGGAGGTGAATTCTAGATAAAGATGTGTCATGTATGCCCTGAGCAGTCACTCAGGTCAGTCTTCATGCTCAGTGGTGAAGCGTGGACTGTGGGCTCCCACACTGAGCATGTAGTGTCCTTCTTGGCCACAACAACTGACTCAGTCCTGCTCAGGTGATCAGGCCACAACCAATGAGACCTTACCAATCTATTTGGCAGTGCTGAGATGAAAGTGATTTCAAGGCCTCTTTCAGAGAGCTAGCGTTATCAGAACCGGGCCGTGATGTTAAGGCCTACAGGAGGATGCTTTGAGGTATGCACAGCAGATCCTGAGTGCAAGCCAGCAGACCTTGAATGTGCAAGAGTTTGCAAGCTCAGCAGCTTGAAATGATAGAAATGTATTAAATGTATTCCTGTGACTCCAGAGTCCACATGTGGATTAGTAGAGTCCTTTGCTCAGTCTCTGCTGAATAGTCAGCAAGATTGTGATCTCAGCTGTGGCTTGGCAGCGCCTTCCCGGGCTGCCATAGCTGTGGGACTGAAGGCCGCCACCATCCTGCCATCTGCTTGCAGGGTATACCAGACCATCTTGGGGGTATCACTAGAATTCTGCTACCATTACTGGCCTGACTGATCTCCCTCAATCTTTTCAGTTTTTAGAATTTTTCCATGTTCTCCCAGACTTCTGTGGTAGCTACTCCCTTGGCTTACCACTGTCTGCCCTCTTAAAAGCTAAACTGCTCAACTTCTGGCGTCCATACCCCAATTCTGCCTGCTGGCTCCATCCAGCAAGGGTGGTTTGTCAAGGAACCCTTCCTGACCTGCCTGCATACACTTCTCTGCCCTTGCCTGACACCAAAGTCTACAAGTTACCACTGTTGCAAGAACGTGAAAATGCTCTCAGCTTCTGGTTTATAATTTGCTAGAATTCTTGCTCCTTGCACAGTGCCTGTGCTATTTTCTCAGCCCAGAATATTTTCCCTACCTTGTTGGTTGACTGACTGTACCCATTACTCTACAAGAGGCCACCTTCCCAGGAACCTTTTCTTGTCCTCCTTGGGCTTCTGTAACCTTCTAAGCCTCTTCCCCCTTTGCTAGAACTTGTCACCCATCGTAAATTAAAGGGCCCTTCTCGCTTACCAGCCTGGCTGTCCCAGAGAACAGAAAATGAAATTTCCTTGAGTCCCAGCACAGGCAGGGACTAGGGTAAGGACCAAAAGTGTGTTGAGCAAACCACCAGGTTTGGTAGGTACGGGCCTTCGACCTGCAGATTCATAGGCCAGTTATTCCCACAGCCAATTGTGGAGTTCCTGAGTTCAGTCTCTGGCTCCAGCTCTTGCTCTCAATTCCAGCTTCCTGCTAATACTCACCCAGGGGGCATTGGTGATGGCTCAGGTATTTGGGTTTGTGCCACCCACATGGGAGATGTGGATTGAGTTTCTGGCTCCCAACTTCAGTTGGATTCAAACCTGGCCATTGTGGGCATTTGATCTCTGCGTATTTTTTTTTTTTCTGCCTCAAATAAATACAAGTTTAGGAAAAAAAATTCTTGCCAAGTGGTTTCAGTAATCTGCATTCAGTAATGTTTGTGATTCCTGGTCTTCTAAGATATTGGCATGCTGGGCCCTGTATAGACCAGCCCAGCAGGCTGTGGCTCACCAGTGTGTCAGCTGCTCCACTTGGGACCCAGTTTCTTGCCAATGTGCTTGGAAAAGCAGTAGAGGGCAGCTCAAGTCCTAGAGTCCCTGCACCCATTTGGCAGACCCGGAAGAGGTACCTACATCCTGGCTTCACTCAGCCCGTCCCTGGCCTTGGCAGCTATTTCCGGTGTGAACCAACAGATGGGGGATCTCTTTTTTTTTACTTTCTCCATCTTTGCCTTTCAAATAAAATAGATCCTTAAAAAAAAAAGTACTCAAGATTATTAAATAACTACTAAAGAATTGCCCAACAACTTGAAAGCTGTTGTTACATCATTGATATATAGTTTCACCTAGTTATTTCATAGACATGACAGCATACCTTCTTTCCCCATGTTATCTGAAGTCTTTCATTTCATATTAACATCTGTTATAAAGGATGAAAAAAAAAGTATGTGCATGTATAGACCATCTGCATAAGACATGAAGGTTGCAGAGTGTTAAATGTTAACTCTGGGGCCAGTACATTGACCAAGCTGGCAAATCCACTTCCAAGCACAGTATCCCAAGTGGGCACAGATTCATGTCCCGGCTGCTTCACTTCCTATCCAGCTCCCTGCCTGTGGCCTGGGAAAGCAGCAGAAGACGACTCAAAGCCTTGGGACCCTGCACCCTCATGGCAGACCCAGAAGAAGCTGCTGGTTCCTGGCTTCGGATCAGCTCAGTTCCAGCCTTTGCAGCCGCTTGGGGAGTGAACCAGTGGAGGGAGGGTCCTTCTGTCTCTCCTGTCTGTACATCTATCTGCTTTTTTAATGAAAATAACCAAATCTCTAAAGATAATTATTAAATCTTAAAGCCAAATAAAAATGGTTGCATTGGGAGAGTGTTACTTTTTCACACAGGACATAATTCAGATGTGAAACTGAGTAGCACCACGTTTAATGAGAAGGAAGAGACCACACCTAACCTTAGGCATCTCCGTGAAGAACTGGGAGCCCAGTCTGCATGACCTTCAGACAGCTGGGGGACTTCCTGGGTGTGGAATCCCTCCCAGATCTGAGAGGGAGGGCCCCACCCAAGCAGGTTCCTAAGAGGGCAAGACTTCCGGGCTTGCTTGTTCGTTCCATCACACAGAAATTCCGTTTTTCTTCAGGCCCTCAAACACAATGTGTGTTCATGCCTCACTACCTAACTTAACAAATTTACTTTTAAAAAACGATCCGTAAACAAAGCTGTGATCCTCAAAATGGAAAATGTTCAAAGGATCTTCATTAAGTTCCTTAAGTTAGTGTGGTGAACAGAACTGTCAAACTTGTCCGATGAAATGAATTAGTTTGGGGTGGAAGAGCTCTAATTTTAATCAACTGAATACTGGTTTTTAGAAATCAAATTAACGGGCTAGCACAATGGCTCAACTGACTGATCCTCTACCTGCAAGCACCTGCATGCCATATATGGGTCACAGGTTCATGTCCCAGCTGCTCCACTTCCCATCCAGCTCCCTGCTTGTGGCCTGGGAGAGCAGTGAGGGGATGGCACAAAGCCTTGGGACCCTGCACCCTCGTGGGAGACCCGTTTTGCTCCTGGCTACTTGAGGAGTGAGCCAGCAGATGAAAGATCTCTGTCTCCCGCTCTCTATATTTGCTTTTCCAATTAAGAAAATAAACTTTTTAAAAAATATAGTTAATCTCCCACAATGTCAGAGTGGGCCTTGGAACCTGATGAACTTGAATTCCAGTGCACATGGCCTGGTTCTCAGGAGTTCCATGAGCCCACCACGAAAAGCGGCTCCAACCCGGAGGGTTTGGTGCCCCCCAAGGGACAGGCGTGAGGTTAGGGTGCGGAGACCCCGGCGCCCACGAGCCGGATCGGCCTTGGGAGTGAGTGTCCGCCCTGCGGTACCTGGCGCTCTTCCGGTGGCCCAGCTCCACGCACAAGCTCCTAACGACAGGGTCAGCCTGGGAACGTCCTAAGCACTTTCCCACTTGTTTCATCAGTGACTGACGACTAAGGGATGACCAGGTCCAGTCCCGACCGCAGGAGGACGCTGCCACAGGAACGCGCCCGGCGCGCTCCCGCGCTCCCCGCGCAGCCGTCAGGGCCGCACGCGCCGGCCCCGCCCCGGGTCACGTGGGGCGCGGGGGCGTGGCCTCCGCTGCGCCTGCGCGCCAGGGGCGGACGGAGCCCAGCCTGCCTTGGCGGAGTGGGCGCTGCGTTCCGCGGCCAGAGCCGCGTCTTCCCACGGCTTTGCCAGCGGCCGGGGCTCGGGCTAGGGCCCGGGCCCCCGGGGCATGGCTCTCCGCAGTGCACAGGGTGACGGCCCCATCTCCACCCGCTGGGACGGCGGCGCTGAGAAGGCAGGTACGGAAGCCGGCAGGAGCGGCCTGTGAGGACGGCCTGGGGGGTAGGGGCGGCGGGACGGGCAGGGACAGCTGTGGGAGGGTGGGACCCCGGAGCCGGTCACACGGGCTTGAAACTCCCCGGGCCGCGGACGGCGTCTGGGCGTCAGGGCGCGGACGAGCGTGGAGAGGGCCTGGGCTGGCGGAGGGGCGTCCAGGAGGATGTTGGGCAGACCCGGGGAGCCCACCCTGGCGGCCGGGGCGCGTTGGCCGTGCAGAGAGGCCCGGGCGGGGGCTCGGCGTCCCGGCCTCGCTCCATCTGGAGAGGAGAGCTGGGACTTCCGGAGAGCCGAGGCAAGCCTCGCCCGCCCGCCGGCCCCAGACGGTCCGGCCACGTCCGCAAACTCCTGGTGCCGCCTCCCGCTGGCAGGGCCGGTGCCCCAAACTTGATCCGCGTGTCGCCCTCCAGACTTGGGCCGTGCCTCTGTGTTACCGATGTACCGTAAAAATTCATACCCCTTGCAAGTATGAACTGAGGACGCTCCCCAAGCTGCGCCAGCATCGCCAGCATCGCCAGCCTCGACTTCGGAAACATTTCTGATTCAGAAAAGAAAGCCGTCCCTGTTAGTGGGCACTACGCCCAGAGCACCTGGCAGCTGCACCCCTCTGTCCGCAGCCTCCATCGCCTCTTGTAACGTGACTTCATTGGGTTCAGAGGATCCTGTTTGTTTTTCAAAGACGACCTCAGTTTGCATTTCTCTGAAATGATGCTTTTCCTTGCTCTCCTGAAGTGTTGTGTTCATCATGAACACTTCACAGTAAAACTGATACAGGTTGACTTGGTCAGAGCATCCTTCCGCCGCTGCAGGTGGTCCTGAACGTGCACCTCAATGCATCATCGCTCCTGTTGGGCTGAAGTTAACGGCACATCTTGTTTCTTTCTGCGGTTACCCCCTTTTTGTCTTGGTCTCAGACTGGCAGGAAGTGGCGCTCACTCCACCCTTTCCCTTCGCAGGGCCCTTTAGCATTGTAACCCCTGGGCTGGTGTTTGTATGACATTATAGTGCCCCAAGTGGCCTGGGTCTTGTGACCGATGGCAGGGCAACTGTATCTAGGCTGAAGGACTTCTCCCCTTCGCTCCCCAGGGTGGTGCTTCTCTGGGTGGAAGGGAGGGATGTGGAGATGAAGTTTCTTGGCTTGGGCTTGGTGTTGGCAGAGTTCGCAAACCCAGGAGCTCGCCTCGGTGGAGTTCCTGTCAGATTGGTTTACTTTTCATGATTGGTTGTGGTCCAGCATTCTTGACTGATAGCTGCTTGCCTTATGTTTCAGGGAGTTAGTGAATCTTTGCTGACTTTGTCACTATTTTGTAGCAGCTAAGTAGAAGACCTCCAAAAGCATAGCGACTGCTTTATTTTACTTTGAATAGGAATCTTACATAGGGTAACATGAGCTTTCTCTTCCACTGACTCTGGTAGAGACAGGAAGTCCAAGCCTACAGTTTCAAGTTAATTTCGGATGTTACTATCAGGAGTTCAGGCATTGTTGGTGAGGTCAGTCTTACCTCCCTAATTGGTTCTCCTGTTGCCTTGGTTAAGACTAGTATTGCTTAATTTGAATTTACTTCTCTTAAAAGGCTGTGAAGCTTTCTGGAAATGTAGGCTTAAGCTCAATCTGGAATGTTGTATCCTGCCATAGGTTCCCTTATGTAAGTGTGGCAGATCATTTAACTTGATCGTGTCAGTAAGATTTATTTTGGGGAAGTGGAAGAACTTGGAAAAGGATCTTAGCTAGTGGGCGGCGTAAGTAATTGTTCTTTCCTTGTGTATTTAGTCCCTGATACCAGGTGCTTTTGACTTAGGAAATGTTTAAGACAATAATGTACTCAGCCAGCTTTATCTGAACTGTTTGAAACTACTGCTTTGGGGCCTGGCAGCATGGCCTAGTGGCTAAAGTCCTCACCTTGAACGCACTGGGACCCCATATGGGCACCAGTTCTAATCCTGGCAGCTCCACTTCCCACGCAGCTCCCTGCTTGTGACCAGGAAAAGCAGTGGAGGACGGCCCAAAGCTTTGGCACCCGACTCTCACATAGGAGACCCAGAAGAAGCTCCAGGTTCCTGGCTTCGGATCGAGGCAGCTCCGACCATTGCGGTCACTTGGGGAATGAAACATCGGCCGGAAGATCTTCCTCTTTGTTTCACTTCCTCTCTTTATATCTGATTGTGCAATAAAAAAGTAAAATAAATCTTAAAAAAAAAAAACTGCTTTGGTGTACTTTACTACACTAAGCATTTTTTTTTTTAAAGATTTATGTTTATTTGAAAGCAAGTTACAGAGCAAAAGTGCAAGAGCCTTCTTCCATCTGCTAGTTCACCCCCCAGATAGCCACAAGAGCAGGGCCTGGGCTAGACAGCAGCCAGGAGCTTCTTCTGGGTCTCCCACACAAGTGCAGGACTAGGCACTTGGGCCCTCCTTCACTGCTTTCCCAGGCCGCAAGCAGGAAGCTTAATCAGAAGTGGAGGAACTGGTGCCCATGTGGGCTGCTGGTTCTGGAGGCTGCGGCTTTGCCACTGCACCACAACACTGGCCCCTAGAATAAGCATTTTAATGGAGAACAGGCCAGAGCAATGCCTATGTTACTTCTTTTTCCTTTGTTGGATGAATTACTTTTCAGGCATTAGGAACTTATTTATAGCCTTTGCTTATTTTTTGCTGCCAGCTGTAGACACTCATTCCATCATGTTACAATAGCCAAGACCTCTATTGCAAAGGCGGTTGGAAGAAAGCACCCTGGGAATAGATAGCCTTGCTCTGTCAGAAAGAGACTAGTGAAGAAATAGAAGGAAAAAGGATTCAGGGCTAAGATGGATAGTAGGCCTTCATTGTAGTTTTCACTTGCACTTGTGGAAATAGCCCTGAGTTCTGTTTTGGAATGAATAGGATGCGTGTGAACTAGAGCCCCCTGACCTGTGCTCCTTCATCACGAGGTCTCAGAGTTGACCTTGTCTGTAACTGACACCTCTCTAGCTCTCTGCAGTTTTCTGTTTTCCATACTTACATCACGTTGAGAGCTTGTGTCTTAGGCCCAATGAAAGATTTGCAAAAGTGGGGACATTCCTCATTTCCCACTAGCCTTCCATGACAGGAACAGGAGCTTGTGGGGGCTGAGCAAGTGGAGCTGAAGGCACAGGTGAGCAGCGTGCTGGGTCACGCTAGGAGCTGTGGAAGCAGGCCAGAGGTGAGCAGCGCGCTGCCCTAGGACACTCTCAGAGCTGTGGAAGCAGGCCACAGGTCGGCTGCTCTGAGTTCTGCAGTGGACGTGTCCTCAACAGGCTCCAGGAGAAGCAGGGGCCTTTGCTTTGGCTGGTGTTTCCCAGGGCAAAGCTCATTGATGAATCTACACTACTGAGTTACCATAGAGTGCCAACAATGAGAAGGCAGTCAACCTTGAGATGAGGCCTTAAAATATAACCAGAACAAAGTTATTGTTGTTTTTAAGATTCTATTTTTGGGCCTGGAGCAATAGTGTAGTGGTTAAAGTCCTTGCCTTGTACGCGCAAGGATCCCACATGGGTGCCGGTTCTAATGCCAGAGGCCCTGCTTTCCATCCAGCTCCCTGTTTGTGGCCTGGGAAAGCAGTCAAGGACAGCCCAAAGCCGTGGGACCCTGCACCCATGTGGGAGACCTGGAAGAAGCTCCTGGCTCCTGGCTTCTGATCGGTGCAGCACCGGCCATTGGAGTCACTTGGGGAGTGACTCATCAGATGCAAGATCTTCCTCTCTGTCTCTACTCCTCTCTATATCTGCCTTTCCAATAAAAAGAAATAAATATTTAAAAAACAAAATATTTTATTTTTATTTTACTTGAAAAAGTTAGAGAGGAGGATGGAGACAGATCTTCCATTTGCTGGTTGCCAGAGCTGGGCTGGTCTGAAGCTGGGAGCCTTCCAGGCCTGCCATGTTAGCACAGGGACCCAGGGACTTGGGCTCTACTCCCCTGCTTTCCCAGGCCGTCAGCAGGGAGCTGGATCAGAAATGGAGCGGCCGGGGCTTAAACTGGCACCCATATGAGACGCTGGTACCACAGGCAGAGGATTGGCATGATACGCCACTGTGGTGGTGTCGAGACTGGAGTTTCAAGTGAAGCCACTGCTGGTGCTGTGGTTCAGGGTCAGACTCAGTTAATGTTCTGGCAAGCTGTTTGCCAAAACCTTGTGAAAGTCCAGCTGATTCCATTGTTTCTCCCGAGATGAACTTTTCCTTTCCCCTGGATCACTGATTAGCTTACTTGGAAGGAGAAGTGCAGTAAGTGTATGTCAACAAACTATGGAAAACTTTCCATATTGTCAGCAAGTAGGTGAACAAGCTTTCTGTGAGCTTCCCTGAAGCAGTGTTGCTGGGCTCACTGAGCTCGTTGGAGTGTTCTCAGTTTGAGATGTGCAGAACGTACACAGATACTCTCATGTGAAGCAGTGCCCGTGTGTTAGTGTTTTCTTCCTGGAAATGACTTGAATTTCTGCTCACATGGTGTCTCATTCCTGCAGTTAGGTGAAAAGTCTCCTGTTTCCTGCATAGGGTGGACCTCCCTGACTTCCTTATGAGAGCAGATTGCGCCCGGTCCACCTGTGCAGGATGAGCCCAGCCTGGCACTCCCCGAGCTGGCAGCTCCACACAGCTGCTTCCTGGCAGCTCTGTGTTCCCTTCAGGGAATGGGACCTTGCCTACTACTGCTTCCTGGGTCTGCAAGGCATTCCCTGCAACACACTCTGCCATGTGGCAAAGCTTTGTTAAAGAAGATACCAAAATACATTTTGTGTGTGTGTGTGTATTTGAAAGGTGGAGTTACAGAGAGGGACAGAGAAACATCTTCCGTTCTTTGGATGGCTGCAATGGTCTGGGCCAAGTCAGACCTAAGCCAGGAGCATGGAATCCAATTCGGGTTTCGCTCATGGGTGTCAGGGGCTCAGGTGCTTGGGCCATCATTCATTGCTTTCCCAGGTACATAGCAGAATGCTGAATCAGAAGTAGAGCAGCTGGGACTGGAGCCCATGCCCATTTGGGTGCTAGCACAGTAGGCTGTGGCTTAACCTGCTGGGCCACTGGCCTGTGGATTTAAAGCAGAAAGATCTCACTTAGTCTAGAATAATCACACTGCAAGGTTGCTGGGGAAGATAATGGTCTGGCCAGGAAGACAGGCTTACTGGGGCAGATGGTCACCCCTGTGATTTTCCTATTTGCACCTCCATGTGCATTTGACCCCACGCCAGCTGGTACCTCTGTATGTGTGGCTGACATGTGCACCCCCCCAAGAAGGTCACCAAGGCTTTCCATGCAAATGTTCATTTGTACAGCTTTGTCATGGAAACAGTTTGTGGGCTATAACTCAGAATAGAACATTGCTGAGGGAGGCTGTTTATTTTCCCTTTAAAAAAAAAAAAGATTTGGGCCCAGGGCAGTAGTCTAGCAGCTAAAGTCCTCTCCTTGCACACACCGGGATCCCATATGGACATTGGTTCTAATCTTGGTGGCCCCGCTTCCTATCCAGCTCCCTGCTTGGGAAAGCAGTCAAGGATGGCTCAAAGCCTTGAGACCCTGTGTAAGGGCCTGGAAGAAGCTCCTGGCTCCTGGTTTTGGATTGGCTCAGTTCTGGCAGTTGTGACCACTTGTGGAGTGAACCAGCAGATTGAAGATCTCTGTCTCTCTGTCCCTGTCTCTCTCTATCTCTCTCTCTCTGCCTCTCCTTATCTCTCTGTAAAATCTGCCCTTCAAATAAAAATAGTAAAACTTAAAAAGTTGAGAAGACTTGAACCCAGGCACTGCACCTTGGAATGCAAGCATCCCAAGGGACATGCTAAACTCCTGTCCCTACATATCTGCCCATTTTTTTTAAATGTGTCTTGTCTTTTAAAAAAAAAAAATCTTTTTTTTTTTCGTTTTAAATTAATTCATTTTTTAAATGATCTTATTTAGTTAATTAGGGTACAAAAGGTCAAGGGTTACAGGAAAGTGAGTAATACCATTGTTTCCACACTAATATTTTTTCCCCTGTATCTGGGGTCAGGGGAAAAAAGAAGGGAAAAGCCCCACCCAGCCTCCCACCCATCCCAGGTCCCTGATGAGAGGCATGCTCTGAGGGTCCTGCTCAAGCAGTTTTGATAGTTCAGCAGGTGTGAATTGCTGCCAGTCTCACCATTCCAATCATGATGAAACCTGTTCAGAATCCACTGGCTGACATAGTCTCTTCATGGTTGGAGTTCTAAAAAAAATTTTTTTTCATTAATATTTGAAAGGTATTTTTTGGTATACCTGCTGATCTTATGTTGTACCTGCTGCCAGATCTATTTGATGGTGAGCTTCCCTCCTCCTTGGTGTTGAGTGCTCTGGGCCTGTCCTGAGAGCCTTGGCCCAGAAGGGATCTCCCAGCTGCCTGTCTGTCTGAGAGGAACTCGCCTCCTGGGCCTCCAGCTCCTGCGGGAACAACATGCACCTGCTGACTGCCTGACACTACCCTCCCCCACTGCTGTCTTTACAGAATGTTTTAGTGCCAAAAAGAAAAAGAAAGTGGCCGAAATCTACCAGGCTTTGGACAGTGATCCCATTGATGTGGCTGCCCTGAGACGCATGGCCATCAGTGAAGGCGGACTGCTGACCGACGATATCCGGCGCAAGGTGTGGCCCAGGCTCCTCAACGTCAACACCAGTGAGCCACCTCCTCCGCTAGGTAAGTGGGGGCCTGAGGGCTGCGGCTGGGCACCGCGTGTGTGGCGTGGGTCTTGGGCTGGAGAGTGGGAGTCCAAAACCTTATTTCACACCATGAGTAGCTGAGTTTAAAAAAAAAGAAAAAATGTTTAGGAAATACTTGAGCTCACTCTGAGAATGAAACCTACCTGATCAGTGGATTTTTTTTCTAATGGAATGATTTTCTATTAAAGATTAAAATACTAGCTAGGTAGAGGTGTTCATTAAAAATTCATACTCTAGGGGCCAGCACTGTGGCATGTGGCATAACCAGTTGCACTGTTATCTGCAATGCCAGCCTCTCTTATGGGTGCTGGTTTGAGTTTTTTGAGTTCCAGCTGCTCCATTTCCAATTGAGCTTCCTGCTAATGCACCAGGAAAAGGAGGGATGAACCAAATCTTTGGGCTTCTGCACCAGTGTGTGAGACTCAGAAGAAACTTCAGCCTGGCCCTGACCAGGAGTGAACCAGTGGTACAAGTTCTCTTTCTTTGTATTGCCCTCTGAACAGAACAGTGAACAGAGAGGAAGGAAGTTAGATTTATAGATATCTTCCATTGGTTCACTCTCCAGATGACGTCAGCAGTGGAGGCTAGGTGAGGTCAAACCCAGGGACCCAGACACATAGGCCATGTTCTTTTGCTTTCCCAGACACACTAGCAGGAAGCTGGGTAGGAAGTAGGGCATCTAGGACTCAAAGAGGCACCCCTGTGGGATGCCAGTATTGCGGGTAATAGTTTCACCTGTTGTGCCACCATGCTGACACCCCCAACAATTAAAAAATAAAATAGTATCTTTTTTTTTTTTAAAGATTTTATTTTATTTTTATTGGAAAGGCGGATATATATAGAGGAGAGACAGAGAGGAAGATCTTCCGTCCGATGATTCACTCCCCAAGTGAGCGCAACGGTCGATGCTATGCCGATCCGAAGCCAGGAGCCTCTTCCGGGTCTCCCACGCGGGTGCAGGTTCCCAAAGCTTTGGGCCGTCCTCGACTGCTTTCCCAGGCCACAGGCAGGGAGCTGGATGGGAAGAGGGGCCACCGGGATTAGAACCGGCGCCCATATGGGATCCCGGACGTGCAAGGCGAGGACCTTAACCACTGCGCCACCGCGCCGGGCCCATAAAATAGTATCTTAAAAGATTCATATTTCAATCCAGATTCAGTCAGTTGGGATGTGTAGGAAATTGCATTTCAACAATCCACCCTGACTGATTCTGATATAGTTGGACTACACTTTGAGAAATACTGGGTTGTGTGGAGGGATGATAGCTGTATAGTCCTTTAAAAAATACTTTGTTGGGAAATCAAGATCCTTTGGAGCTCTAAAATTCTGTAAGTGTGAAAAGCAGTTATTGAATTTCCAAGGTTCACACAGTAAAAAGGAGCTCCCTCTAATACATGCAAAACATACCAGGAAGCCCTGGATGACAGTGAATCCACTTTGTTCATTCACTCAGTTCATTCACTTTATTGCTTTCCTGCCGTAATAGCAGAACGCCTGGTGCTGGGATGCTTCTTTTCATTTGGCAGGAGTGACGTGTGCCCCCGGTGTGTGCCAGGTGCTAGAGAGGATTAAAGCTACAGCCTGCCCAGAGCTGTGGTGCTGCCAAGAGCTGCTGAGCTGCCTCTTGAACTGTCTGTACTCGGTCTTCTTGCCTTGCGGGAACAACACGTGTTCAGAACTGAACCAGGAATTCCCTTCCAAATGTTGTATCCTGAATCATATCCCCTTCAGCTTTGCCCACAGTGTGTCCTCCAGGCCTTTGGTGTCACTCCAAGGTGCTTTGCTTCAGTGTGACAGCCCAGATGGTCCTGTGGTCACACGTTGCTTTTCTTGCACTAGGAAAAGACCTACGACAGAGCAAGGACTACCAACAGGTCCTGCTGGACGTCAGGCGGTCTCTGCGGCGGTTCCCTCCAGGTGAGGAGTCTTCCCACTTTGCCACCTTTGTAAGGAAGCCTTGTGTCCCATCGCACCTGCTCTGTGATGTCATTGCTTGCCTGTCCCAGGACTGTCTCTCCCTGCACATAGTCTGGACTAGCACAGGCGAGCCCACTTCTGCGGCTTGGATCTTCAGTATGCTCCATCTGCTGAGTCCTCTGCTGGACCGAGTCACTCTCAGATGCCTGCTGTGAAGGGCTGGTCCTAGGGTGATTTCTCTTGGCCTCCATGTGGCATGCTGAACGTGACTTTTGTTTGTTTGGTTTTTCATTCACCCCACTGGAGGGACTTGATAGGGATTGTTGAGCGTTGGGCTGGCATTAATGAGCTGATGGGTGTGGTGCTGGGCGCTAGCAAGCTTTAGCAGTCTCTTTCTGCAGGTGTTACAGTGATGCCGTGTGCGCATGTGTCCCAGGTCCTCTGGACTGGAAGGAAGGCCCCCTCTATGTCACAGAGTCTGTCTCTAGAACTGCCTTGCAAGTCTTCAGGAGGAAGAGAATGATAGCGCCTCCATTTTCACAGTGAAGGAAGGAAACTGGATTACAAATCAGTTTATGACCTGGTTCTTCTCTGGCCCTACCCCCTTCAAGAAGGGAGACTTGCTGAAAGGCACTGCGTCTCTAACCCCATTGCTTTGGGTCTGGCACAGTAACCTAGTGGCTAAAGTCCTCACCTTGCATCTGTTAGAATAACATATGGGCGCCGGTTCATATCCCTGCTGCGCTACTTCCTTTCCAACTCCCTGCTTGTGGCCTGGGAAAGCAGTCAAGGACAGCCCAAGGTCTTGGGACCCTGCACCCATGTGGGAGACCTGGAAGAAGCTCTTGGCTCTGTGCACTTGATGCAGGCAGGGCATGGGTGTCTCAGGCATGTGTTAACCATTGCCCGTCAGTTCTTGTTTCAGAGTGTCTTTGAGATGGGATGGAGTAGCTATGAGAAGATGAACATTGCTCTTGTCCTGATCCCATTGTTGACCCTACTGTAAGCCATCCCAAAATCTCATTTAACTGTAGAAGCTAATGGTGTTGGGAGTCTGTACCAGGTCCGTTCTAAATCATTCACAAGGCCCCAGCAGGCATTCTGCTGCTGAAAGCCCTGGGAGCTGTACCGACCCCGGCATGCTGTGAGGGCTCCGGCTGAACTCAGCTGCTGCAGTCATAGCTTGGGATCAAAGAAATCTGTGCTCGTGCTATCTGATTTGCTTTAGAGGGAAATGCGCAACTTTGCAATTTTTTTTCTTTTTTTGTATGAGCTCATGCTTACCAAAAAGTTTAAAGAATGGAACCAAGAATTAACTCAGATACTTCACCCAGATTTTTTTTATCAATATCTACTAGGTTTGTTTTGTTAACTGCTTTCTTTTTCTCTAAACACTAGCATTTTCCTGAAGTACTTAAGAATAAATTGCAAACATAGGGCTCCTTTGCCTCTGGACACTTCAGGGTCTATTTCCTGAAAATAAAGTTCTTGCATTATTACAGCACAGTCATCAAAGTCAGTAATAGTATTAGAAAATACTGTTAGGGAATCCATAAATTATATTCAGATACCACCTTCTATCCAAGAAATGTCCTTTTTAGAAAATCTACCCTGTGGCATTTCTCCTTAGTAATTATATCTCTTTAACCTGCTTTCATCTAGAACACTTCCTTGGGGTTTTGTGATGAGCTGGTTGCTTTGCTAATTTCCCCTTCCCTTGGATTTATATGTATTCCTCCTTGTGAGGTATGTGAGGCCTGATGCCGAGCAGTGGCCAGCACAGCCCAGCTGCCCTCCCCGCGCCATGCTGCTGCCGTGTACTCTGGCAGGCATGGGCCCTGCTGCACTTGACCAGGTGGTTTGTCATGTGTTGTGTGTCACTGAAGCCTTTGCTTGCAAACGCACTGCTGGCCGTCTCCCCGCCCCACCCAGGCATGCCCGATGAGCAGCGGGAGGGGCTCCAGGAGGAGCTCATCGACATCATCCTGCTGGTCTTGGAGCGCAACCCTCAACTGCACTACTACCAAGGCTACCATGACATCGTGGTCACGTTTCTGCTGGTGGTAGGCGAGAAGCTCACAACATCCCTGGTAGAAAAATTGTCTACCCACCACCTCAGGTACAGTGCAGCGGGACAGGACGAGGGGTATCACGCCTCAGGCTCCTGGGGAGGACTCGTGAGCTCATGTTCTAGTCAGATGTCAGTGGTTGACGCCAAGTCCACCCACCAACTCTGGTCTGAGGCTTGGATCTGACTAAGTGTGTCGAACTGTCTCCCTCTAGGGATTTCATGGAGCCAACCATGGACAACACCCGGCACATATTAAACTATCTGATGCCCATCATTGACCAGGTGAATCCAGAACTCCATGATTTCATGCAGAGGTATCTATGTGTCTACATTTATGTGTGTACACACACCCCTACACTGCAAGCTCTCTCCTCGCTTTTGTTTCTGCTTCCCAAGTCTAGTTCAATTTCATCATCGTCTTATGTTGGTTAGTGTTAAGTTCTTCCAAGCTCTTACTTCCCAGCAGCTGAGATAAGTCAGTCCTCTTATGGGATGGGAGCACTGTGTGCTGCGTTCTAGGAAGGTACAAGGAAGACTTAGCTCATGGCCCATATGTTCACATCTAGCGAGGAGAGTGAATGAGCCATGGCAGGCCTGGAGGAGGAGGAAGTCAGCAGCGGCCCCAAGGAGGGAAGCACGGGCTCTGGGGCACTGGGTTTCCCAGGAGAGGAAGTGCCAGCTCTGCAGAGGTCACAGATTGGTTTTGTCTTGGTCTCTGTTTAGTTAGAAATGTGTCTTTGGACAATGCCTTCTTTTATTTGTTTATTTGATCATTAAGATTTATTTATTTATCTGAAAATTGGAGTTACAGAGAAGGCAGGGGAAAGGGAAGAGAGAGCTTCCATCCACTGGTTTTCTCACAAATGGCAGCAGTGGCTGGAGCTGGGCCAGACTGAAGCCAGGGGCCGGTAGTTGCTTCCTGATTTTCAATGTGGGTCAGGGGCCCACTGAGTTATCTGCTGCTGCTTTTCCAGATGCGTTAGCAGGGGGCTGGATGGGAAATGCAACAGAAGAGACTCACGCTGGTGTTGATGTGGGGTGCCGGCATCACAGCTAGCCGCTTTCCCTGCTGTGTCACAATGCTAGCCCCACAGTTGTGTTTTCAGACCTGGGAAATTGTTCCTGTGTTCCCAAATCAGGGTATATTCTTTGAACACAGCTCATTCTTAGTCCTCTAGTTGACATTTTTTGGCCATTAAGAGAGTCCCCACATCACATGATTGGCACCATCCCCAGGCAATGATGTAGCCCAACAGCAAGGAGTGATGGACTCTCCCTGCCCCCACCCTCTCCACCCTATTTGGAAACCCACATGGGGCTGCAAACCCCTGTACCTTTGCCATCAATATCAAAATAAATTTTAAGTCCCCAGTGAGGTGAGACAGCCCTGGTGGATAATAGCATCACAGCACATTGTAAGGACTTTGTATTTTGTAGGGAGGATGCTGAATACCCGTGTGGCTGAATTGTGCAGAAAGCCTGTTTCCAAAGGCTACCTCCTCACCAACCCTGAGGACAAAGAAGGCCCAGAGAAAGGGAAGCCATGACGCAGCCAGGCCTAACATCTGCGTTTCCTTTGCTCCTAGTGCTGAGGTGGGGACTATCTTTGCCCTCAGCTGGCTCATCACCTGGTTCGGGCACGTCCTGTCTGACTTCAGGCACGTTGTGCGGTTGTACGACTTCTTCCTGGCCTGTCACCCGCTGATGCCCATTTACTTTGCAGCTGTGGTAGGTACAGGCCATGAGCCAGCCCCTGGGTCAACCATCACCCAGCCCTGCTCCTTCATTGGCCCCAGGGAAAGCCTGATGATAATAGAAAGAGGGGACAGTTCGCAGTCCCCAGGGTCACCCTCCTAGGCATTGTTCTGTGCAGTGTTAATGAGGAGGTTGTAGAAAAAATGTGTAGTAAATTAAGAAATGCTGGGTTCCTGGAGTCGCAGTGGCCTGCCTCTGGTGACCTGCTCAGATGCCACTTTGGGTTGTAAGTTGTCAGCACTCCTATTGACACCTCCTGGGACTGTGTTTGGCTGACAGACACAACTACAGAAGTGGTCGGTGACATGGACTGCCCACTCTAGGTCTGGGGTTGGATGGAGAAACAAGAGGGCTGTGGTAGAGAGTGAGGGCTCCGGTTGTGACAAGGGCTATGAAATCAGGGAACAGAGTGGGGTTCAGCAAGGCTTGTCACTGCTCCCTCTCTACCAGCACTTGTGGATCTCTGGGCCAGCAGTCAAAAGGAAGATGTGGAGAAAATAAGACCATTTCTTGTGCTGGCTTGACCATTTTTGGCTGGAGTCCTGCCACCCTCCTAATAACCCTAAAAGAACCTCCTGTGGTTCCTTCAAGGCTTGAAGAACACTTAGCAGACCAGTAAGGCCAGAAGGCCTTGTATGTAATTGATTAGCCATGCTTGTCCTGGGGTGGGTGTTGGTCCACAGCAGGCAGGGCCAGCCCAGTAGGAGCAGCCCTGTGAGTGTATCCATTATCACCTGCTGGATGGATAGAGGTTACTGAGCATTCTGGGCTGTGCCCTGTCTCCAGGGTAAACACATCTGTACAGAGAGTGAAGTGCTAGTGATCCCAGCCTGAGGTGGGGGTATGTTCTCTGATTACTCTATTACTCTCTATTACTCTCTGTTACTCCCCACAGATCGTGTTGTATCGGGAGCAAGAAGTCTTGGACTGTGACTGTGACATGGCATCTGTCCACCACCTGTTGTCGCAGATCCCTCAAGACCTACCTTATGAGACACTGATCAGTAGAGCAGGCGACCTCTTTGTCCAGTTTCCCCCGTCCGAGCTCTCCCGGGAAGCAGCCGCCCAGCAGCAGGCTGCAAGGTGGGTGAGGCTGAGATGCTCAGGGTGCTTGGACCATTGGGTGAAAATTGGGGTCTCGTGGGGAGGGGCTGGGGAGAGAGACTGGAGCCTGTGCCACTGGCCTCCACACTGAGAAGTCCTCTAGATCTCACTAAGAAGTTTTCTTCTCTTTTCTTAATTAAGTTTTATTTATTTAATTGGAAGAGTTAGAGAAGGGGAGAAACACAGAGTTATTCATCCATTGGCTCACACTCCCAAGTAGCCATAATGACCAGAGCTGGGATTGGAGTGAAGTAGGACCCCAGCCAGTGCCCATATGGTACAGGGGGCGATTTTACCTGCCACAGCACTACACTAGCCTCCCCACCCCCAGGAGAGCTTGCAGAGCAGATGGCTCTGTCCCTGGGTACTTGTCTTGCTCCTCCACACAGCTTCCTCCCCTTTCCTTCCCCTGCAGAACGGCTGCCTCTACTTTCAAAGACTTTGAGCTAGTGTCTGCCCAGCAGAGGCCGGATATGGTGCTGCGGCAGCGGTTTCGGGAACTTCTACGGCCTGAAGAGCGAACAAAAGATGTCCTGACCAAACCAAGGACCAACCGCTTTGTGAAACTGGCAGTGATGGGGCTCACGGTGGCCCTGGGAGCGGCTGCGCTGGCTGTAGTGAAAAGTGCCCTGGAGTGGGCCCCCAAGTTCCAGCTGCAGCTGTTTCCCTGAAGCCGGAGCAGACACTTGCTATTGCCCCACCAGGGTCTCACCCTTCCACGGAAGGATCATGGGTAGGGGGGTAGAATTTCCTTTATTAAAAGGGTTTCTGTCAAGGGTTTTCTATTCCTGCCCCCCTTCCCTGCCTGTCGGGGTTTGCCTTTGCTCCAGAGGCCTCTGACAGCCCACCAAGCCCAAGAACTGTGCCTCCCACCGCACTGGAAGGAGGTCTCTGCTGTTGCAGGAAGTAAGTTTTTCTGGTTGCGTCTGGGACCTGCTGGGCCCAGTCTTCCCTGCTCACTGGGTCACGTTCTGGGTGCTTGGAAAGAGGGAGAAGCCAGGATAGCCCCCTGCCCTTGGGCATTATGCTGGAAGGCAGGCAGGCGTGCAGGGAGCGCTACCTAAAGAGCTGCTCTGCCAGATGTGAGCTAGGTGTCAGAAGTCACGGTGTCTCTGGCCAGGCAAGGAGGAGTGTTCCTTTGGAAGGGCCAGACCCTGCCAGCTCTGGCTTGCCTCTCTGCCTCCCTGTACTGTGAGCCACTTGTCCCTTACGAAAGACACTTTACTATTTTTGGAATCCCACACCCCAGTCCGTCAGGCTCCCTTTCTTGGAAGCACTCTTCATGAACGTTCATGGGGTGGGCCTGCTGCTCAGCCCATCCGTGTTTGTCCACTGGTCGCCCCTCACAGTGCAGACCCACTCACAAGGCTGCTCGCTCACCGGCCTGGTCATGGGTCACCTTTCTGCTCCACCTAGATGTCCGCCCCCTCCCTCGGTGTCTCATGGGTAGTTAGCTGCATTTCACAGTCTTTGCCACATGGCTGGAAATGTCTTTGAACCTCACCAGCCCCCAAACAGGACAGATGGTGGCTCAAGAGCTCGGCAGGAGCCTGAGAGCAGCCACAGATTCTGCAAGCACCCTGCAGGCCCCGTGGGACAAGGGGAGCACCCTACAGGCCCTGTGGAACAAAGGGACCACTTTCATCCTTCTGGGACAGCATTCCTGTTAGTGAAGCCAGGCGTGTTTCAGATTAACTGGCTTGAAAAAGTGCCTTTCCCTGCTTTGGAGTTGGGTTTGCAGTTGGAAGCAGCCTTGGTCTTCCTGGGCACTTTCCTCTATGGCAGGAGTTTTCTTCAAAGTCAGTGTGCCACTCCACCCACCATACCCAGAGCCCCTCTGCACATGCGGGCTATGTGGAGGGCGTCAGCACACCAGGCTGCCGCTGAGCCCAGAGCCCAGAGCACCTGTGACGTGCATCTATGCTGAGCTCCAGGAAGCACTTTTTTTCTTCTATAAGATTTATGTTGCAAGAATTATAGAGAAATCTTTCATCTGCTGGTGCCCCAGAAGGCTGGAACAGCCAGTACTGGACCAGACCAAAGCCAGGAGCCAGGAACTTCCACCAGGTCTTCCATGGGAATGGCAGGGGCCAAAGGACCTAAGCTGTCATTCTCTGCTGCTTTTCCCAGGCAGCTGGCAGGGAGCTGGATTGGCAGTGGAGCAGCTGGAACGCAAACCATCCATAAAGGGTGTGGGCATTGCATGTGGCAGCTGTACTCGCCACAGCACTGGCCCCTCCAGGAAGCACTTTAAAACCAGTGAAAGCTCCATGTACAGGACCACAGCAGGAGCTCCTCCCTGCCGGGTAAGTGTGCTGGCCAAGGGAATAATACGGAAGGAGGTGGAGCTGGGCACACAGCCACTGGTTCTCCTGCCACAAGCACGCAAGACCGTAAACCCTGAAGGGGTGGGTGAGGAGCAAAGAGGCACTGCACATGAATGTGACCCAGGTCCCAGTGCTGCAGCCTTGAGTCCAAGAGGCAAGTGACACTGGCCTGTGCTGGGGCCTGAGAGAGAGGTGGTGGGTTTAGGACACTGAGCAGACTTTGTTACCCATTTGCCTTGGGTAGATGTACTTCCTGTGTAAAGGACACATGTAAAATACTTTGTACAGAGCACTCTGTGAAATAAAGAGCCACATGTGGTTGCTAATCACCTCCCTGCTGTTCGCTCCAGGCCCCTGCTTGCTGCAGGTGGACTTGGCATGCACGCTGTCCTTGGGCCCCCCACGTTCCGGCCGAGGCCAGGGGCTGGGCTGGGCTCTGCGGACTCCTGGCTGGCCCTCCTTTGGGCAGTGCCTGCAGTCCCATTGTTCCTGTTTCACCTGCCAATGTGAGCATGGCAGACGCCAGACTGGGCACTCACAGTGGTTTTTTGTGCACTGTTTCTGGCAGTGCCTTTGGTGTTGGCACCTAACCGGAGCCTGTTGTGATGGCAGTTTGCCTCCATGTGTGGTTTACAGCCACAAAGGAGCTGTTGAGAGCTGTTCCTGCCAAGCTTTCTAGCACCTTCCTAGCATTCTCAGCCGCTGGGGAGTGGGAGTGCAGACACCAACAAATGCCTGTTGCTCCTGCCTGAGGGGGTCCATCTGCGTATGGGGAACCACGGTGTCACAGGCCCCAAGGGGACATGGGAAGGTGCCTGAGCCTGGGCATCACTCGGCTGTTTCAGCTTGTCCCCCAGCACAGGACTGGCAGGGCTATGACCCTCCTTGGGGAATTCACCCAGAGTGCAGTGCTGCAGGAGCTGTTGGGTTCAGTGGCACATTTGAGGGTGTCTTGCAGGAGCTGATGGCTGAATGCAGGCTGAGTGGAGGATTGAAGAAGGGAAGAGCCTTTGGTGTATTATCTCCCAGGTTCTTGACCCAGGACTCCTGAAACCCTGGGAGTTCTCACCACACCACTGAGCCCTGACCCACCCCTCCTGATCAGCATCCTCAAGCTCAAGGAAGTTATTTTGTTGTTTTTTTTTAACTGGAAAGGCAGATATACAGAAAGATCTTACGTCCACTGATTCACTTCCCCAAATGGTCACAACGGCCACAGCTAAGATGATCTGAAGCCAGGAGCTACTTCTGGGGCTCCCACGTGGGTGCAGGGTCCCAAGGCTTTGGCCAGTCCTAGACTGCTTTCCCAGAGCACAAACAGGGAGCTGGATGAGAAGCGGAGTACCCGGGATACAAAGCAGCACCAATATGGAATCTTAGTGTGTACAAGGCGAGGACTAGCCACTAGGCGGTGCTTTTGTGATGACTTAGAGTGAGTCTGGTCAGAGGCAGGAGCCTGGAAGCCACACTCTGACCTAGTGGGAGGTGGGGCAGCAGCAGGTGGGTTCTGTAGACCTGCAAGCATGCTGCAGTGTGGAAGGGTAGTGCGCACAGGGCAGGGGCTCTGTGCCCTGCCTCCACACCTTTCCTGGTTACCTCACATTTGGCTGTGGCAGCATTACATCCCTTCTGATAAACCAGTGAGATAAAAACCGTGTTTCCCCGAATCCTGCGTATCCCAGCAAGGGGGTAGAGTCATGGAAGTCTCCCAAGTGGGTAGTCTGGGTGTCCCCTTTGCAGCACCCTGACTCCAGGAGAGCAGTGAGGCAGTATCAGGGTTCAGGGTGTGGAGAAAACACTCCATGGGCAAGGTGACCAGGATCAGCTGTGGCAGTGGGGGAAGAGATGCACCTCTCCTGTGGGCCTTTGCAGGGTGAGCCGGGCCTGCCTTCCTGGCCATGATGCCTCTCAGAACTCAGTGTCCTTAACAATGAAATAGTCTCATCCCCAAAGGGGTTGAATGAAATGGCACTTGTGCAAGTGTTTTACAAACTGCGCCTTTTATTTTTATGCACTTATATATTTTTAAAAGATATTTGTGGGGGCTGGTTTGTGTCGTGGCTGCTCTACTTCCCATCCAGCTCCCTGACTGTGACCTGGGAAAGCAGTAGAGGATGGCCTTAAACCCTGGACCTCTGTACCCAGATGGGAGACCTAGAAGTTCCTGACTTTGGATCAGCTCAGCTTGCAACTGCTGCAGCTATGGAGTGGGGGGTCAACCAGCAGATGGAAGATCTGTCTCTCCTCTCTGTAAATCTTTAAATTTATTTCAAAGGCAGGATGGCAAACGGAGAGATAAGGGCATCCTCTAGCTGCTGCTTTACTCCCCCTCATGTGGCCCAGTAGGTAAACCTGCACCAGGCTGAAAGCAGGAGCAGCAGGAGCTCCACGCTGGTCTGCTATGTGGCAGGGACCAAGGACTTGGGTCACCATCTGCACACTGGCAGGGAATGGATGGACTGAAGGCAGAGCAGTTGGGACTCAAGCCAGTGCTTCAAGAAAAGATGCTAGCATTGCAAGTGATGGCTTAATCCACAGTGCCACAGCACTGGCTCTTTAAAAAAATAAAAATTCATAAGGATTTACTTATTTCTTTTTAGATTTATATATCTTTTACTGCAAGTCAGATATACAAAGAGGAGACAAGAGAGAGAGGAAGCTCTTCTGTCCAATTGATTCACTCCCCAAGTGACCGCAACGGCCAAGTGCTGAGCCAATCTGAAGCCAGGAGCCCGGAGCCTCTTCCAGTGCAGGGTCCCAAGGCTTTGGGCCATCCTTGACCGCTTTCCCAGGCCAAAAGCAGGCACTGGATGGGAGTGCAGCCACTGGGATTAGAACCGGCACCCATATGGGATCTCAGCATGCACAAGGTGACAACTTTAGCCGCTAGGTTACTGCGCTGGGCCCTGAACTTTTATTTTTTAAGATTTATTTTAGTTTGGGGGCCTGGTGTACATGCCACGTTGGTGCCTGCAGGGAGGACCAGGGGAAGGACACAGCAAGTGTAACACCCACCTGCCGTGGTTCCACTCTAGATGCTTCGTTTCCTCTAAAGCCTGAGGTGGAAAGGAACATTTCAAGGGCACCTTCCCGGTGAGAAGCCCAAGGTGACGTGGACTGCGGCAACTGGAGGTTGCCCAAGAGGGACATGTCTGCTCTTGCCACGTGGAACTAAGGAGCTGCTATTATCAAGCTGGCAATCGAGTCTGATTTCTCAGTCCAGGGTGGACCAAGAGCATGGGCTGCGCAGTACCCAGCCAGGCCGAGTGCAGCAGAGGAGTTGCACTCCGCTCTCGCTGGCCTGTAGCCCAGCAGTCTCACACTGGGCTGCTTTCCTTCGGGCCATCTGGCTCTGCCAGGCCCTTTGTGGCCCCAGAACCGAAAGGCGGCCTGAGCCTGCCCTGTGGACTCCTAAGCCAACTCGGCCTCTGCTATGGTGCCTGAGCTCAGCTACTCTGAGCCTTGATAGCAGACGCTGGGCAGCAGTGCCAGTCCACACTGGCACAGGCCCTGTCCTGTAGACCTACCCACCCGTGGCCCTTGCATGGCAGGGGCACCCTCAGCCCACAGAGAGAGGGATCACAGGATGGATTGCATGCAGACCCCCGAGCACCAGGACTAGCATGGGTACAGGTCAGTCAGTTGCACACTACTTGGGGTGCCATCCCAGCAGTGGGTGCTGCTGCTTCAGTTGCTGCCCTACTCCCTCCCACCAAGCCCCTGCTGACCTCCAGACCCTCTTGACACAGTCTGCTCGGCCACCCAGTGGCCCAGGAGCAGCCTTGCCCCACAGGCAGGCATCCAGGCTCAGCCTGCTGCAGAGAGGGGCCAACACGTCACCCTCCCGTGGCCACCCTCCCGTGGCATGCTCAGGCTCTTCTGGGCCTGCAATCCTTGGGGCTGTCACCCCTCAGGGAGGCCACACTTAACCCTTCCTGAAAAACCACTTTAATCAACTTGTGGGGGCAGAAGGGTCCTGGCCCAAGCCAACAGGCTGAGTTTCAAGGCCCTTATGAGGTTAGCAGCGGTCCCCGGCCACAGCAGTGCCCCCAGAAAGCCGGCAGGAAGGGACAAGGCTGCAAATGTTTGGTGTTCAGCATCAAGGGCGGCCGGGGAGGACTGGAGTCAAACGTAGCAGCCCCAGCGGAGGGCAAAGGCATGGGGCACATGGGACTAAATGGCAGCCAGCTCGGGTGGGCCAGATTGCCCCTTGGCTTGCGGCCACGGCAGTGCATCTCTCTGTACCAGACCCAATTGGGTCAGTGAAGGCATTTGGCCAGCTGAGGTTCAGTGGCAGTTCTGGCAGCTTGGGTGGCAAGGAACTCCATTCATTCGGCAGCGGCAGCCTCCGCTGGTGTCCCCTGGACCCTAGAGGATAAGAGGAAGCAGGGAGAATGTAAGGGAAGTGAGGACACTGTCCAGTCCTGAGTACCTGTCCCCTCTCGGGCCAGGGTCCTGTCAGTCACCCTGTCCAAAGCAGCCTTGGAGCTACAGCCTGCCCCAGGAGGCAACAGGGAGTACCTCCTGGGCTTGCACAACTCCTAGCTCCAGGACCTCATAGAGCCACCGAGTTGCCTGCCTGTACCAGAAGGTGTGTTGCATTGGCAGGTGAGTGCGTGGCTTCCTCGGGCTCCATGTGCCTTTGGGTCTAGCTGTCCTAACCAGGACCCTTGTTCCAGGAGCCCAGCCCCAGCAGAGACAGCACCCATCCTCTTCCCCTGGCTGCCATGCCATTCACCTGATCTGACAAGCCTGTTCATTTCCCCAGCAGAAGGTAAGCCACAGAGCAGCAGGTGTCCAACACAGCCAACATGGGCCTGGGCCAGGGTCTCAATTCCTTTGCTCGCTGTACCCTAGCCTGGAAGGCCACCTGGGCCTGGTCCCCAAGGGAAAGAACCACAACAGCCTGTGTGCAGACGGGCACACCCATACTAGAAACCGTATGGACATGAACTGCAGTGTGAACTGACGTTCATGTATAGCAGGACATTGTTCAGCTCTGCCTTGTTTGGCCGTGGGAAGAGGTAAACTTTCTGACCTTGACAAGTGTACAGGTGCAATGGCAGGTTGGCCAGTTTCCCAAGCCCTCCTCTAGGGCAGACTCCACGAGGGCACCCCGAGGACTCACCCCAGGGCCCCAGCGTGGACCCTTGGTGACCCAGCAGATCTCCGTGTGGCAGACGGTGCAGCGGATCCAGTCGCAGCCATCCTTCTTCTGGACGACGATTTGGCACTGTGGGCAGTGCATGGCCTCCCCCTGCTGCAGCATCAGCTGGGAGCGGACGGGGATGGAGATAGGGCAGCTGCCCAGCGTGGCCTTACCCCC